CCATTATATGCTTTCAGTAATAAAAATACTCCCGCGGCGTCCTGAGCGAAACATGTGATTTCGGCGTGGCAGTCAAAGTGTTAAGCTGGTATTTTTTCACGTTCGTGCAGTTGATACTAATTGTTTGGATCATTCGCGGAATCGAAGGAACGTGATTACACTCCATCTTCTAAATGCAGAAATTTTCAGTGGCAACTGTCAGCTATCAAACGGTGAAATGCCTAAACTACGTAGAAGAGATAAAGTGTTCTTACGTGTTTGCAAACAAGAGGCATGTTTATGTGAAAATGCTTAAATATCTGATGAATTATTCATTTTTCCAACACGTCAATTCGATACTTTCGTACGTATAGTATTCAAAAGAATTGATTTATGCAGGAAAAAAGTTCTGGAAAAATAGACACTGCGAAGTCATTCAATATTTGCCTTTATCACTCGTATAAAGATATACAGCTAACGCAAATTGTGTAAGTCATCCTGTATATTGGACTAAATACATACTAGTGTACGCAAATCGCGCCACTTGAGGAAAAACTCTGCTCTAGAAAATCTGCGGAAAGGTTTTGAAAAATTAGAGAATTGAAATTTTGTCCTTGGAAACTTTCAACGTGGCTTTATCCAAATCGTGTTTTTCAAATTTAAACGCACGGTCTCTGAAAAAGTGTAACTTTCCGTAAGGATGGACATTGAGCGAAAAATGTTTGAAATTAGTAATTTTAAGGCTGCAAGGTAAACAAGATACAAGGTGAAAACTTTGGAAGCCCGTCGTTTTGTTATATTTAAACCTGTCTGCGATTTTTCCATGCAGAATTATTCTCGATGGCGTAAATTCGATATTATTTACAAGTTACCAGCAACAACACGAGTCGATGCTAAAAACGTTAATAAATATAGCAGAAAATATTTCAAGCCTCGTTTCCTTAAACAAGATTTACAAAATTCCAATTTTTTCGTTTTCTAGACCAGAACATCCTCCTTAGAAAGCAACCGGAGCATTGAAAGTGTAAGTGCATCCGTACGGTAATTTCACTTTGTCGTAATTTCTCGAGCAACAATTATCGCCTCCGTTTGCCGTTCAGATCTAACAGCGATTCGGCTCGTAGTCCGCGTGACATTAGATCAAACGACAGGACGCAATTTTCCGAACGTAGGAAATTTATCCTTCGATAAACGTAACGATATTTCAGCTACATAACTTACGGTACACTTGTCGCGAAGTTAACTCTTTGCGGACGTAAGATCAAGTGTCAAGTTAGCTCGCTACTTCGGTATTTTTGTTTTAATTAAATTATATGAAAATTACATTTTCCTCAAATATAGCGCACGAGTTCACCATTCTCATTGTTTAAAAGTATATATGTTTATTGGTTGCATTCGTAGTGTTTTATGAACGCGTATGTGTACGAATTTATCGTCCTCAAAGTGTTAAAATGGACGTGCGTTAAATCGTAGTTTGTTCGGTGGAGAAAAAAAAAAAGGAAGAAGAGAAATGTCGAGAGGCAAACATCTGATTCGATTGATCGAACGGATTGATAACGAGAAATACGGTGGACCGCAAAGGGTTAAATGTTTAACGAAAACCACGACGTCGCGACTTGTTTGATATCCTGCATAATTCGTGCAACCTGACGCGAGACGTGGATATTTGAAGTGACTTGCGCGGTGTGGCTAATAAATACATACATACATAACTACATTTGCGTACAGTTTGACCGCCCATTTACGCAACAGTATATACCTATTGAAGGTCACACACGACAATAAGATTCCTGTGCGTTCCGAACTGTGTGCTTTTCCTCTCCCCGTTGTTCTGGCGTACCACTATAGCTGGAAGTTTCGCAATTGCTCTTCTTAATAAATAACAATTGAACGGTCGACGCGGTCTCGCGCACTCGGACGACACAAAAGCCTCTCAAAGACAATCGTAATTACATTGCAATCGACGATTCGATGGTGCAGATCCACCGTGACAACGCGAGTTTCCTTATTTTACAATCTCTACGTAAGCCTCACTACACCTATGTTACACTATACGACGCATACCTGCGCCTGCCACCAGGTTATTTCATTTCACACGTGAAATGTGTTCGCGATATCAATTCCGCAGGAGTTTTCTTTTTCTTCTGTAGGTTCATCATAAATCTAATAGCTATTTGTTGTTGTTATTGTTGATCATTTCATACGACACTTCGTTGTGTTTAAAAAATAGTTAATATTTTGTTGAAAAATATCAGTTGATAAGATATATGCTCGATGGGTGTGGCTTTGTGAGCTCTAAAATGACACGGTAGACGTATAAACAATAAAGAATACTTTTCAAGTGTACGGAGAGTGTACCGCGGGTAAAATGAATATTTTAGAAGGATGAGATCATCAGGTACTAATTAGGGAAGAAATCTGAACATGCTTTCGAAGAGAGTTTTGCATAAGGAGTGGTGGAATATACAAAGAATAATTTATTATGAATTTTGTTAACCGAAATATACTATAACTTTCAAAATTATTATCAATAATTAATATTGTCGACGAATAGCTTGTGAGAAAACGTCTACGTTTTACCATAAGGTGAAATATAAGTGTACAGTTTTAAGTGGGTCATATGTGACTTCTTTGATTAAGAAAAAAGTTCTGAAATTTGAACAAGCATATTATGAAATATATTCTTTTTTATTTGTGCGATTCAGCAATATTTAGGTCATTGAGAAGATTCTTTAAATCGACACAGATTTATGAAGTTGTGAAGACAGTGTAGTAATTAAAATATATTCTAAATTCAACGAAAGAAGATAGTCTATTCAAAAACCCTATGAAATTACTCATACTCAATTTCCTTCACACATTGTTTGTTTATAGATCCGTAAAAGGGCCGTTTTTTTTTCTCGACTTAAGAGAAAAGAGGGGGAGGGGCTTAAAGTACGCATTTCCCGAAGCAAGTTGGAAGCTATAACTTTCAATCAAAACAGGATATTGGATTGCATCTTGCGTTAAAAAATCACAAAAAAATTTAAGCGTTTTGGCTATACAGCTTTTTGTACAGTTTCGAGTTATGATATAAAATTCGAGCGGTGGGTGAAATATTAAAACTAAATAAACATTTTTAATGCAAAATAATAGTAAAAACGAAAAGTTTCTCCAAGGTTTGATTTATACATACCATCTACAAGAAAAGAAAATAAGCTTCATCTACAGTGTTTCCGTTCAAATTTGGCGATATTTCCTTTGGGAATTGCAATTTTTCTGCATGTTTTGGACACGCAAAAAGCGAAAATCAGGCATAAATTACATTTAAAAAATGAAAAGTGTATCAAAAGTTATATTGTCAACAAGTTAAAATTTTTTTACGGTATTTTGGCACAAGATTTTCAAAGAAAGTTATAGCCACCGATGTGTTTCGGGAAACTGCGTACTTTAACCCTCTCCCACTCTATTCTCTTGAGCCTGGTAAAAAACAGACACTGGAAATATGGAAAATTTGAAAGAAATCAAAGGTGGGTAATTTCATAGCGTTTTTGAATAAACTCCTTTTTGTAAAGAAAGAATTGAAACAATCGTGAAACATTAAAGATTGTATTTGCAAACTCTTTGATTAAAAACAACAGTATAGTAATAAGGCTAGTAAAGAAGAGACGCAAAGATTTTGCGTTAGTCGAATGTTTTCGAAGAAATATTTTCATAAAGCCGAACTTGAGAACCTTGAGTGGAATTGCTTAGAAATGTTAATACGTTTTCATAATTTGAACAGTTTCCCCTTTTTCAATTTGTAATGTCACGTGTAACATTTCTACTGGTAAATACTTTTGAGGTGAATCAATGTTACAAAAGTATATTCAACTGCACAGGCAATTCTATTGAAATTTTCTAAATCCCACTGCCGTTCATTTTTATTAATACATATCTGAATGTGAAAAGTATTGTTTTCATTACGGAGATTAAGAAAATTGGGACATTGATATCGCGAATACATTTACGTGAATGTTTTTCGATGTTTTGCTTTCAAATTGTTAGAACAACTATATATATGTAAACGCGTTTGCAAAGACTGCGCGAGATCTGGCTAAGAAAAAGGAAACCAAATACTCGTCAGGTATAGTTCTTAACTTTGCTAACGACACTTTTGCCATTTTGATCAACTGCACTTTTGATTGTACAAATTTGTTGCTGTAAGGCGACGGAACCTTTGGGTTTTCTTCGACCATCTTGTTCCAAGATGGCGAAAAACTGCTCGAAAGCCACTATATAATCCACATCGTGTCGCTTTTCAAAACTGCACTGTAGAGAACTTCGAAGGACCAGAGAAATCGGAAAATGAAGAAGCGTATTTAGTAAGGAATATATCGTTGCGAAAGTGCGCCTATGCAATGACGATGTAGCATGCACGTCGAAGGGGCAACGGCTGGTTGCTAGATGACAGGCGTCGCGTTCCCCAATCGCGTCCTGTCTATCCGTTGCGTTGTCGAAAAATGTAGCTGCGTGCTTCAAGTTCCTCCTTTTTTTTTTTTTTTAACTGCTATGGACGGATGTAACCGCGTTGATCTTTCAAACCGCGGCTCGCTCGTTTGTTTGCAATCGAATCCGCGTTTTTAATCCGCGAAATTGCGCCGCCGCTCGGTCAACTATCACCTGTATTCATACTACGCCGTTCTTAAAACGGAATTTCGAAAACAATGCGGCAGGAATGTCGAGTACTGTCGCTGGCAATCAATAATCGCAAATGGGCAGTGATTTTTCAATTCCATACGCTCACAACTCTCGCTTTCGTCGAAAAATTACACCCTTTTGTTATTTTTTTTTCATGCAACGTTCGTAATTCTCCACGGGTTTCTTTCGTTCCAATCCCCGAGTTCACCGGGTTCGACCTTCCGTGTCTCCTTTTCCCTCGTGTGAAACTGAAGAGACGTCGACACAGAAGCTCTGCGGCGTGATTCACTCGAACGGTATCACTTCGAAAGACGCGCGGCTGTTTCGGGGAACATCGTGAAACATGTTCAAGTATGAATATTTTAAATGAAGCCGCCAAGGGCGTCGTGAAAGTCTTGCAAATATGCGAGAAGTTGCGGCATGGTCGGCCGGTCCCTAGGCAGACCCAGCCAACAGACAGCCATCACGGCGAAAAGTTCGTCGGGACATGGTCGCGGTTGGGCCAGTCGGTAGCCATCTCGGAGACAAGCCATCATCTCGAATGGGTCCACCTCGATATACGGCTGCTGGCCCATCGTCACCAACTCCCACAGGAACACTCCGAATGACCACTTGAAGAAAGAGAAAAAGAGGTCGTAATTAGTCGTAACGTACGATTAAGGTGAAGGATTATCAGCTTCTACGTTAGTATTCGTATAATTTTCGCTCCCTTTAAAGTAAGTATCAGAATAGAATTACAATAAGAATTTTATTGCTTTATTCGTTAAATTAGACTGTCTTTTGTTGCAGCATTGTGGTATGTACGATATAAGAATCATGGTTTTTTATTTTTTAGGGGTTTTTAATAACTTGTTGATAATATGAACACTATATTTAATCTTTGATATAGCAGTTTTCTTTATTAATTTAGTTAAAATTAATTGAAAAACATAATTTTATGACTTATGCATATAACCTTGAAAGTGTGTACAAAATGCATATAACGAATTTGAATAATATTATATAAATATAACATAAGTAAACGGAAAATTTAAAGAAGAATGCTGAAAATTACAAAAGGATGAACTCGGAGAAAAGATGATACAATTATTTTTTGAGAATTTCTTAATTTTTCAATTCGTTCCAAAATCCTTAAAAGGTTACATACTTTTGTAATGATTTTCTTCACTATGAATATTTTTCAATAATTTTTATTAACAACTGCAACTTATCGTACAGAATTAAATTTTCAGATGTTATGTATTTTTGATTTAGGATACGGAGAAACAATGTGGGCATCATATTTTATATCATAAACGGTATATAAAAAATGCAAATAATATATGAAAGCATCATCGATTAGTACCTCGTTGTCTGAAACATATTCGATTTGGAAATAAAACGAATCTAAAAATAGTTTATCATTATTATAGTTCAATAGAAATTGCCATCGTACCACGTCCGTCGCAGTGCTATACTGATTGTGCTGGAGTGTCTCCAAGGCCATCCAACGAATGGGTCTGTTCTCGTTATCGCCGAGACAATGATAATCCTGGGGGAAGAGATCTCGCGCCAAAGCAGTATCAGCTAATCGCACGCGAAGATTGCTTGGCTCGATCAGGCAGTTTCTCGTAGCAATGTCCCTAAAGACACATGATCGCTTATGTATTTTGACCCAACATATTTCTTGGATATTTCCGAATATCATTAAAACGTTGATCTCGATAAACTTTTACATTATTTCATTTTAGAAGAAAGAAATGCCTAAAAAAAATTGTAACTTATAATGTTATAATATTTTAACTTTGATCTTAGTATGTTTTTAGATAATAACCAATTATATCAATTATATTAGTATTAATAACAATTCATTGTGTGACATTTTTGTTAAATGTTATTATGTTTTTGTAAAATTAATTTTACACGAAATGTTTTACTATATTTTTCGAGCGGTAATTTTTAACGGAATTCATTTGCGTGCATCTCGTACAAGTTATTTAAATTTTCTCGGATCAAATGATATTATGAAAGTAATTTATGCAAGAGTGTAATCAATTCAACCGAGTAATGAAATATTATAGATGAGAATAGTAGCAATTACCTGTGCAAGAGCCCTCGACCATGCAAGAACGCTCCTGCCCTGGCAACCTGTGCACCAACGTGCACCAAGTCCCTCGTCACAGGATGATGATTCCCGTCGGTAAGGTACAGTTTCAAATTTAACTCGCCCGGCGCACTCGCGTATGCCAATAACGGACAAGAACTATCCAGGCAAGCGGCTGTAAGCGAGGTTATGTTTGTATGCACTAATCCTGCCAGCTGCGAGCCCTCCACCACCAGTAAAGAAGCCTGATATGTCGATGCCACTTCTAAAACGGTCAACTTTTTGCATTAATCGAACTACGTTCTTTTACTAGTTTTCTTATCTGCAATTCTACTGTCAACGATAATTCACATTACTTTAACACTTCAACTGACGACAGAATTATTCGAACCTATTTTTATGAACGAAATATTTGTCGTTGCGATTAGATTCCATTCTGATTTTTAGTTAGTAAGCCTGCATTAGCAATCTTCAGTGGATATGAAATTTTCTGCCTTATCATACGATGTTAATTTAGAGTACTTGAATTTTTATTATTGAATTTGAAAACAATAATGTAGTTGAATAATATTCTTGTTTCTTACATCATTCTTCGCATATTTGTTTTAAATTGTATGGTATAAATGTAGATACGTTGTAGAAATATATTTTTATTCCTGGTATTTTACATTTTGATATGCCAGATTTTTATGGAGCAAAATGTTTTTTATTCATTTCACTGTGTTCGGTTGATTATAAACAAGAATAAATATTGTATAATGTAAAGTATAGGTAATTTCATGCTTAGAATAAAAGTTTTTCTTTCGATACAGTTAAATTGGAAATCTTTTAAAGTATCGCGAATAACTCGATTAAGGCTTTAAAAAATATATTTTTGTTGAGCACACATATAATTTAAGAATTTTTGGGTTTTATATTTTTGAGAATGCATAAAAAGGTTTTATTTAGTATTTCAATCTTGTACAAAATAATTCTTTTCCAATATGCTTTTTTTGTACAAAGACTGAGTTTCCAGATTTCTGAAAGGACATTCTGGTCAGAAAATTTGTTTAAATGTAATTTACATTTCAGAATTGTATGTTTCCTCTAGGAAAATTTCTATTTAACCTTTTAGCTAACATACTTTTCTGCCCTCAGCTGACTATTATCAAATACCTGTGTATTATTCTTGTCCATAGAAAATGTGATCATGTCTCAATATAATTTCTACAAAAATTACTGATTGCACTATATCATTGTTTTAAAATTTCCATATTACACTTTTCAAACGCAGTAGTATCAATAGCATAATATGTTAATACCTGTGACTGTTTTAATAATTACTTCCTGTTCACGATCAGCCAGTTCCAAAGTGCCTTTGTAGACACGACCAAAGGTGCCCTCTTGCACAAGATTGCAACAATACAACGCGGCTCTTGACACGGAAAGCGCCCTAGCTTTCTCGCACGGATCGGTCGTCTGTAAATTAACAGGGATAGAAGCAATACATTAATATTGATACCTGCAGTTATTAGCAGTTTCGAAAACAATTTGCAAATTTTTTCATTCTTGAAACTGACATCATTTCTAAAAGATGGTACGCGTACAACCATTACTATATCTTTTTAAATCCGCGCCTTACAACTATAATCTTTATGTGATTATGTTTTTATGGTAAGCTAATCTTGAATATCTCTTAAAATACACAAATAACCTAATTTGTAATTCCATTTTTTTTTTTCTTTGACACCGTAAAATGCAAATTGCATTTTTAAGTTTCATAAACAAAAGTTCTCCGTTCTTCTTACAACATTCCCTGTAATTCCTTGTTAGCTTTCACCTTTCCACTTTTTTTTCTCTAGCCTGCATTGTTCCTACTAAGAATTCGCTACAACATTTTTGTTCCATCAAATATTTTTTAATGCTCACATCAATATTAATATTGACTAATTCGATTGCCACATATTTCGAGAATTTCTATCTAGCACTTCATTTCACTAACTGGATGATATCATGAAATTTATTTCATATTCCCCGTGTTTTAGGCATTGCAGGTTTGGACACTCCCCAGTACACGCTGGAGGAGTAATCGGCGTAGGCCCCTCCAGAGGACTACACTTCGTTCAAAATAAGAGTAACCTCGCTCTCGGTCCGATTTTCGTCCGTTCTGCGCAGTTCCCCCTACTACCTACCGATGTGACGCATGCGATTGGTCGTAGCGCCATTTCGGCTGTGCCTAAGAGCGACGTCAACGTAAACAGTGCATAGAGTGGAGAGAATCTTTCCGGTGGTCTAAAAATATGCGCGCCTACTGTGTGCATGATATCGCAGCGGTTTATGACAGACGAATAGTGGCTAGTTGTATGAATTTAGCTGGACAAAATAAAAATATCAATATTTAGGGAACGATTCAAAATCATTTGAAAAATATATATACGGAAATTAGGGGGCAGATATCTCTGTATAAAAACTTATCACCGTGTATTTCGAAACATTTTTAATTTTACATTTAAACTTGTTAACTTTAACCTTTTATTTACAAACGAAGTAAACTGAAACATATTTTTATTTTATAAAGTTATCAAATACAATAAAATTATTCTTTTTTGCTTTTCTAAATTTAATTGCCTTTTCTTCTTTCTTCCATAATCATTACACACAGTCGTACAGGGTGTATGTTTCAAGAAGCCATTTTTGACATTTTAAACAAGTAATCCATATTTTTCCTTAAAAAATAAATGATTTGTCTCGAGATATCACGTTATCTATTTTAAAGTACTTTTTTTTACTTTGAATATTACAAACATCATTCAAGTCGTTTTAGATTCTTAATGCAATAAACTTACCTTGAAAAAACAGCAAAATCTTTAAAAGTCATAACATGCATGTTAAATAAACAATTCAAGTTCGTTCAAAACAACTGCAAAACAATTTTTATAAAACAGTTGCTAGCCGTGCATGTTCGAAATTAATTAAGTCACCGTGTATATGAGACAACACGCCCGGAACAGTAGACAGAGAGCGTAGCAGAGGGTAAGGCGGAGAAAAACGTAGGCGGTTAAGTGGGGGTTTGGACGTTCTAGCCCTGCCTTAGGCACGTCCCATACGCGAAGCGAGGTTACTCTTATTTTGAACGAAGTGTAGAGGGGTTATTATTAGGGGTGGAGAAATATGTTGAGAATGTATAATGACGTTTTGTTTGCGCGGAGACTTTGTTCCCGTGTGAGTTGAGGTTGCAAATTGATCGAAGTGTGGGACACGGTTGCAGTAGCAGGTAAAGAACTTTAATATCGTTGAACGGTAATTTTTAAGTAGCAAGGTACTCTTATTTCACTGTGCATCTTTGAAACTTGAATGCACACGTTGTTGCAGTCGCTATTTTTGAATGAAACATCGATGGAAGCACTATTTCGAATGCAAAACATCATTGTACGCGTTACTTTTGAATGCAACATTACTTCAAGCGTTATATTTGAACGCAAACATTGTTGGAATCACTATTTTTGATTGCAACATTATTAGAAGCGTTATTTCGAACGCAAACATTATTACAAGCACTACGCTTGAATGTAACATCGTTACAAGCGTAATACTCCCTTGTAACATCGTTCACTCGTATTATTTCCGTAAAAAGCACATTGTTGCAAACCGCGCTATCGCGCTTGCACCTTTGATGCCTACGTCGCTCCCGAAAACTGCACATTGTTGCAAACACGTACCTGACTTGCAACTTTGTTGCTGACGAAAATTGCACATTGTTGCACGACGCCCCCCGCTTTGCAACATTGTGCAAATTTCGGGAGCGATTTACGGCAACAAAGTTGCAAACCCGCTGCACGTTTGCAACAATGTGCAATTTTCGGGAGCGACTTTCGGCAACAAAGTTGCATCGCTCCCGAAAACTGCACATTGTTGCAAACACGTACCTGACTTGCAACTTTGTTGCCGAAAATAGCTCACGAAAATCGCACATTGTTGCAAACGTGCAGCGGGTTTGCAACTTTGTTGCCGAAAGTCGCTCCCGAAAATTGCACATTGTTGCAAGCGCGTACCTGGCTTGCAACTTTGTTGCCGAAAACGATCCCGAAAATTGCACAATGTTGCAAACGCGTTCTGGGTTTGCAACTTTGTTGCCGAAAGTCGCTCCCGAAAACTGCACATTGTTGCAAACACGTTCTGGGTTTGCAACTTTGTTGCTGACGAAAATTGCACATTGTTGCACGACGCCCCGCTTTGCAACATTGTGCAATTTTCGGGAGCGATTTTCGGCAACAAAGTTGCGAGCCCCGGTACTCGTTTGCAACAATGTACAATTTTCGGGAGCGATTTTCGGCAACAAAGTTGCGAGCCCCGGTACTCGTTTGCAACAATGTACAATTTTCGGGAGCGATTTTCGGCAACAAAGTTGCGAGCCCCGGTACTCGTTTGCAACAATGTACAATTTTCGGGAGCGATTTTCGGCAACAAAGTTGCGAGCCCCGGTACTCGTTTGCAACAATGTACAATTTTCGGGAGCGATTTTCGGCAACAAAGTTGCAAGCCAGGTACGCGCTTGCAACAATGTGCAATTTTCGGGAGCGACGTAGGCAACAAAGATGCAAGCGCGATAAGACGTTTGCCACAATGTGCATTCGAAAATAATAGGAGTTAACCATGTTACAAGCGAGAATGACGCTTGTAACAATGTTACATTCAAGCGTAGGGCTGGTAATAATGTTTGCGTTCGAAATAACGCTTCTAATAATGTTGCAATCAAAAATATAGATTGCAGCAATGTTTGCGTTCAAAATATAACTCTTCAAGCTCTGTTGCATTCAAAAGTACCGCGTACAACAATGTTTTGCATTCTAAATAATGCTTCCATCGATGTTGCATTCGAGAATAGAGACTACAGCAATGTGTGCATTCAACTTTGTGTCGCGCGCGCAATTCGCGAAAAATTTGTATTATATTTACGTATTTACTTGTTACTTATTATCATTTATTAAGTAAGCAAATATGCTACAAATTATGTCGCGTTTGGTATCGTTTTAATCAGAAAAATGTGACAAATATGTTGATAAAAATTTCATTCGTTACAAATCAAAAATAGGAAAGTTTGATTTTTGAGTTAAAGGTCTCAGCTTATTCGTTTGTCCTCAACTACTTTAATACAGAAAACGTTCCAGAAATATATTAAAGATTTTCAGAGATAAAATTATGCATTGCAGCTATAAACTTACTGAAAGGTGGGCGGGAAGCAATCCGACAAAAGAACGATTTTTAACGCACAGAGTGTCGCATGATTAAAGAAAGAAATAAAATTTGAAGAATTACAAAATGGTATGGAAGAAAATCAGAATAGATCTTCAAATTCTTTATGCGATCGTAAGAAACATTCTTTTAACGATAGCAGCAATATGACCAAAAAGAGAACAACGTACTCGATACGCACGGTCTAAATAATTCGTCATATAATAAAAGTCCTGCGCAAAAGAATTCATTAAAAAGCGTTCGTCGCTTCCAACAGGATGTGAACAAGATCCCTGAAGAGGAATAAGAAGAAGAGCGGCAGGAAGAAAAAAGTGGGAGGACCTCCTTCTCTTTTAATATATTGTTATGTCGTCGTCCCCGTCGTAGCAACATTGCCCTTTGTTCCTCGATGGTTTTTCAACGGTTCCCACGTTGCGATTAGCAGGGAAGCTCTGACGCGGGGGCAAACAGGGCAAGAGGGAGGCCAGTTATTCATTAATTTCAATTTTCCGGAGTTTTGCCTCTGACCCTTCTCATTCCAATTCCACGCACCCACCTACACCCCAAGCCCCGTGCACAGGCTGCACCGTGGTTGCACGGTGCGACGTGTGCGTCTGTGTGTGTCAAAGTGGTAAGGAAAAAGAGGCGGAAAATAACTGAAAAGCAGCTCGGAAAGTATTAACACCGTGCAAATTGCTAGACGACGTATCGGATTTAAAGAGGGGGAGAGATTACGGGGGCGGGTAAGGGTCGTGCGCGAAATCATTTGTCGAAACTCTGGTAGAGAGCAATGTCGGCTAATATTACGGCTTACCGTGACCTGTAATTATTAGCACTGTGAGCGTTGAGTGTGTGAATTACTTGTTGGTGAAAAAAAAACCCTGCCTTTTTCATTCCTCTTTGTCTCCTGATTTTCATACCGCCGCGCCGCTTTGTCTCACTCGCGTGTATCTCGTTTCTACTTTTCCAATTTTCTAAAGGTCTTTAACCTTTTATCACGCGAGAATATCCTCTCCCTGCTTGCCTCGCGTGCTTCTCTATCTTTCTTCATTAGTGGAAGTGCGACGAGACCAATTTCAAATCGGCGAGCCTGGCGTCGAACAGATAAACAATGCACGCGGTTATAAATCTAAATAGGTAGGAATTCGGGAGAGGGAGACTTTTTTGTTTAACCAATTCTCGCCGTCGAGAGAGGTTTCTGGAGGGGCAGCAGTTGACAGCGTGTTGCAATTTCGTTATTGCGGACA